GTATATCCTGGACTGAGTACGTGACCAACGAAGAGGTACTACGCCGGATAGGTAAAGAGAGAGAGGTAGGAATAAGTATAAAGAAAAGAAAGTTGGAATACTTGGGTCACGTTATGAGACATAATAAATATAGAGTACTACAGCTGATCATTCAAGGGAAAATAAACAGCAGAAGGGGTCCAGGGAGGAGAAGACACTCGTGGCTCCAAAACTTGCGGCAATGGTTCGGATTGTCATCTGCTGAACTATTCAGATCTGGCGTAAACAAAGTCAGAACAGCCATGTTGACTGCCAACTTTTGGAACGGACAAGGCACATGAAGAAGAAGAAGAGTTTATGGTGGTTATCTGATGAGAGAAAATAAAAATTTAACATACCTCAAAATACCCCAAGCGTTATCCATGTTCAAATTAATCTGTGTAGCGAACTCGTGTGGTTTATATTGTTGCGTTCCTAGAATAACATGTTTGCTGTTATCTCTGACGTGAGCACGAGATACATAACCGAATTTAATTTGATCACTTCCAGCCAGAAGTGCCTGGACAGTCCATTTCGCCAGTTTGCAAGCGTTATTGCGGAGTTCGTTAGCTAGAACGGCACCTCGTTGGGTATCCAGTTTTTGGCGCCATTCAACTCCGTTGGCCAGTTTAGAATCCCATTCGTTTAGTGCCTTTATGGTAAGGAATTGGAGTTCACCATTAGGAGATTGGACTACGGCATCGTGTTCACAACGAGCAACCAATGTCTAAAAAACGTGATATGTCAAATAGATCAAAAGTTCTTAAATGTAAGTTAAAAGTAGAATTGAGTATGTTAAAGAGAAAATAATACTCACAATTCCTCCTCCAAGATCCCATTTGCGGTATCTATAAGCAACGCTAGCAATTTCCCCCTCCTCTTCTTCTGATATGAATGGGTTTGGATCATCAAATTTGTATCGTGGTTCATTTGCGCCTATTTTCAGTACCTACAAAAAGATATTACTTAAAATAAATGGTTTAGTAGTAGAACGCATTATGTGACTGCATAGCATTAATTTGCAATCTCAGTTCACATAAAGAGTTACATTTACATCAGTGGAAATAAGGAACAGGCTCCTTAGAAACAGCAACTTCACCAGAGAAGTATTGGCACTCCAGGGTTTAACTATATTAGAGTTACTGTATTCCAGGCAAAAATTTATGCAATCTTGCATTGTGCAAAAAAATTTATTATTATAAAGACTTTAGAACTTAAACATATCAATATGCACAGATAGTCAAGCGGCTATGGGGAATCTCAAAAGTCATAAGGTAGACTCTAGGCTAGTATCCCTCACTCCTCGTCATTCCTTGAGCACTTGTCAGTGCGTGGTTACACTCTAAATATTATTGGCTTGCTGCCTCCATTGACTGCGATCCTGCGCCATAGGACGGCTTCATGTAGAGATTTTCCCACTAAAGACTTCATTTGGTCTGCCCATCGTGTTTGAGATTTTCCTCTTGGTCTTCGGCCTTCTACTACCAATAGTTCTATGGTCCTCGTTCTTCTAGCTATGTGGCCGAAGTAAATTAGGTGAGCTCGTTTTACTTTTTTAATAGCCTGCCTTTTATATGAAGCTCTTCCAGAATTGACATGTTGGTTCCATGTTCTGTCCAGGACACGCGTAGAATTCTTCTATAGCCCACATTTCGAAGGCTTCCATCTTATTCCTATCGATTTTTTTAAGAGTCCATGTTTTAGTTGCATATGTAGCAATGGCATGTATGTGGCATTGACCACCCTGAGCTTAGTATTCCTTGTTATTGTTTGGTCTTTCCATATTTTAATCAGTATAGCTGTTGCGGTTCGGACCTTTGGTAGTCTACGATTGATTTGTAAGGAGCAATCGCCATTGTTGGTTATCAAGGAGCATAAGTATATAAATCTATCTACCACTTCGAAATTCGCCACTTGGTGTTTGTGCGGTAGATTAAGTTGAAGTTGTTGTATTATATGTTGTATAATAATGGTGCTAGTATGATGCTAGATTTCTTTTTAGGTTATCCATTCCAATTTCATCGGCATACTGCCATATAATTTAATGTTTTCAAGTATGGTTTAATCTATGTAAACCCAACCACCCTGGTGTAATAGCATGACGCTAGGTCGCCCAATAAACGGCTGAGAAACACCAACTTCAGAGATGGCACACCATACCAAAATGTTATCGGCAAATTTCACTTTTTCCTTAAACCTAACTTCGTCCGGTGGATCTTGTACATTGCGTGTATAAAATCCGTCATTGCCCTTCAGTTCGGAATTGGATAAAGTAAAATACTTTTCATCATCAATAATGAGAATTTCACCAGGATAATGAATACGTCTCAATGCACGGCAACATCTAGGAATTTTTTCTAACTGGGCTGGTGTGTACTTAGGAGAGATTTTTCTTTTATATCGTTTTAAATTATTTCTAGAAATTGTTCTACTTACATTTCATTTGTGAAACATTATATATTCTGCCAACATTTCGCAGACTTTCCTAATTGGTTCTCCATACTCTGAATTAATCTCTGTTCCCGAGCAGGAGTTCAAACTCTTGGTCTTCCACTTTTGGCTAAATTATGGCATGGTATACCATCTTCGCACTCTTAAATTGTGTGGTAAATCGTTGAGACAGAAATATTTTGAGCACTAAAAATTCTTACAATATCGCGTTTTGTTACATGTCCACCTGAACGATAAGTACTTTGACAAATGTTAAGTTTGTACGACATTTTAACGAACTGTATTTGTCAAAACTGACATTGTTTAAAGTTTTTTACTAACTTTGGTTTCCAATGGCAACTTGATCCAATGCTTCCTATCAATAATACATACTCTTAAATCTAAAATTTTCCGAAAACTTTAGGGATATATGCTGTTATACATAATTCCTAAACAAAATCATAATGCCAAATGAAAAAGCAACGATATTTCTTCACGCTAAGGCATTAATTAGAATTAAATTTAAATCCAATAAGAAAACGCAGTATAGCTAGCTCGCTGCACTACAAGGTTTATTTTTACAAAAATAAACTGTAAAAAACTGATATTTGAAGTTTTCTATTAAATACAGATATAATTTTTGAATGTTACTTACTTGTTGGCTGAAATTGTGGTTAATGAATGTAGCTTCCAGAGCCAAATTTCTAGGTGAATTTAAGGAGTTGCCATCATCTTGAGGAGGCTCAACGGATGTTTCATTTACAGTCAGTAAATCAAATTCTGTGTTGTCTCTCTTGTCAAAAAATAGTTTGTCGCCTAAAAAAAATGCGTTTAGATATATTGCTGAAATATTTCTATAGATTGATTGGCAGTGAAACATTTTTGTAACATTCCCAATATTCATAAAATTTTTGAAAGTCATTTATGTACGCCAAAAAAAAGGAAGAGATGCAAATACTATAAGCACAATTGCCAAACGCACTGGTTTAGCTACTATTTATACAAATTAGACCAGTGAGTAATTTGTTTTAAGTAGACTCAGTGTTACATTCTAAAAGAATTAACACCTTGGATGTGTTAAGCGGCTATACATCCATGTATAATTGGTTGCATATGCCTGGTTGAACAATACAGACCACACTTCGTCAATCGACAATGTTTTCTGAGTATTATATTTTTGGATTATTTTATTGTTTTAAGAATAATTTCATTTTTTTTTACCATTTCAAGTTATTCAAGTATATGTGAGAGTTGGATCATTGGAGGATATTAAATTTGTTTGTTGTTATGCTTTTTATGGAAAAACTTTCTACATTTATGATAATAGTTTTGTGAATTTTAAGTATAGTAAAGTGTATGGGAATTACTGATGTTTCTTTTGAACTAAGTGAGTGATTTTTGTTTATGTTTTATTTTTTGAGTTGTATAACTAGTATTTGTAGTAAAGTTTATTGATTGTATGACTCCATCTAAATTTAATGTTGAACATTTGCTTTCTGAAGAGTTAGCTTATGAGGTGAAAGTTAGAGGACTTAAGATACCACCTACTATTGAATTAAAAAGGTCAATTTTGCGGGGAGCGAAACATCAAGAAGATACTAATATAAGTGTCTTGGATACAACTGTTGTTATGGACGAGGAAACAACTATTCAGTCTACTTGTCAAGATTAAAGATAAAAATTGATGAATTTTCTGGAAATACTAGCTGTAATAGTTGTGTAAGGCTCTTGTCTAGGATATCACATGTAACAGGTCATATTTTAAAGTTAATTTGTTAGAGTGAGAAAGAGGAAGTAAAGAAGTCTGAATGGTTAAAGTTTAATGTTAAAACTTTTGGTTTATAAAATGTTTTGGTTGAGAAAACTGATAGTGAGGTAACTTTGGCTCACTCCGATGGCTCCGATATCACTTCTATGGCTGATAGTGATCTCTAGTTCTGGTCAAATGCGTCGAGCGCGGCGGAAATCGACGACGGCCGAAGGTAAATTGCCGTAACAAAAAACTTTTCTCATTAGAGCATATTTACAAATTTTTTACATTTAACAAAGACATTACATTTATATTACATGTTTGCTTCACTGGAAATTACAAAAGTATCTCAGCATTACTTACCTATTTTTTCAATAACAATATCCCAAGAATAATTGGAACGAGTACAACACATTATGGTGGCCAAAATTGCATCTGTGGCATATACATTGCCTTCAGTTTTGTCAATTTTCTGATAACGGGATCGTCTGTAGTAGTAACCTAAAGTAAAAACAAAAAGTGGTAAATAATTTACATTTCAATTGATTTTATTGATTATTATTATAGATTGTATTGGCAGATCGAAACATCTTAACCTTTCACATCAAATGCCCATTGCAATGAACACAAAATTATAGAACCAAATAACAAATTTCTGTGCTGAGTATTGCATATGCAGGGTGCAGCATTAGTATGAGGAAGTCCAATTACCCATTTTTGTTGTAAGAAATACGAAAAACAAAATGGTCTAGGTAAAAGTTGGAACATTGCTAGGATCACACTTTGAAAATATTTTCAAATATAAAGGACCACCCTTACTCATAGGTTGGAACAAACTTAAAAGTCTTCTAAACTAACAAAATTGAAAACATAAAATAAATGATGAAAGTTACGTGACAGAAATACCTAATTGACCAAGCTGTAATTCCAAAGCTTGCAGAGCTAAATATACTTACAGTATGGAAGATCCTGTTCACACTTTGTAAAGCCTTCTCATTTTTAACATTGACACGATCGTAAGATTTATCGTAATATTCCAGTTCACCACAGCACAAAACATCGTCACCTAAAAAATAAAAAAATAAAATATCTAACAACCTGCCAGCTAAAGCAAACATTTTGCAATCCATGGCACGCTTTAGGACTATATTTCAAAATGATTCTTTTGAATCTAGGAGTTATGGGATATCTGAATGAGAGAAATTTTATAGAACTTCTAAATTTCTGTGTCCAACAAATACCTCTTATTTGTTATCTATATCTCTCTATCTGTATCTACACAGAGGAGCTTATAAAATGTGGGGAAGTTGTGTCAATTTTTTTGAGAATTGGCTATCGGTCGACTTGAATATACTTATTTAAAATTGCTCTGTGATATCTCTGAATTTTTGGGTTATTACAAGTGTTTTAAAAGCAAATCAGTAGTAAGTGTATTAGTATAAAATCCCACTCCAAGATTACTACTTTCATAATAGTAGTTAACCAAACTCACATTTTTAGATACATTTAAGAATAGGAGAATTGGTTTTTCTTTTCAAGATTGTAAACGGAATGACAAATTTGCCTCAAATTTTGCAGATTTTGCTTCCTCAAAGATGCACAGGATCCAAGGACGTTTTTCACTTAGAATTCCAACAAACAAACTATTGTCTAAATAGATCTATAAGACAAATGTGTCAATCTGGAAATGGCTTAGATGTAGACTTTTTTTCTAGCTCTCTGAATAGTTTTCGAAAAAAGCTGAAAAAATCTTTTTAAATACAATGTAGGCTGTCACTGTAAACTGTCATTTAGGTAGTTATTCTATTTGTCTTGTGTAAATTGTATGTAATTATTATTGAATTCTAAAACTGTTAATATTTATTTATTTTTAAACTATTTATTTATTTATTTATAATTTGCAAGTCAAAAAGTGGCCACAAATAGTTTTAATTCAATTAATGGTAATTTATTTTTTAACAAAAATTTTATTTATTTATTTTTTAAATAAAATACACTGCTCATGACGTGTATGCATGGTTTTTATACTAAATCAAAGCTAATTTTTTTGATATGATGATATAAGGTTGACTTAGAAAAAATGGTTGCAAATTAAGGTTGCCAGCAGTTAAAAAAGCGAGGTATCAAAGATAAAGTAAAAGAGAGTATTTTCTTACTACATATTTTCTAAGTAATTATTATTAGGAGTAAAGAACAAACTGAGATACCACAAATAAATAGTTAATGAAGGTATTTTATATATAGCAACTAACATGAATTATATTAAAAGAACAAATATTCTAATGTAAAGTACTTTTTCATAAATATCTATGTTAACTCACCATCCTTAATTCCTGGTAGAGATAATTTTCCAAGTCTGGGGAAGTCCATTTCCTCAATAGTACTCCAGTCTGGTCTTACAGTAACTGATGCATCCCTTATTTTTATTTGAGGCTATAATTATTGACAAATTATTATTATGATATTATTTACAATAAGCCAATATTCTGCTGCATGAATAAATATTAAAAGTTACAATAAAAAAATAATCACAGCCTGATTTGACCTGGCTAGACAAGATTTTAGATAGTATACACCTCTAACACAAAAGCACATTTTTCCTGTAATGAATTAAATAGGTCGGTAAAGTTATAAAAGAAAGGAGAAAAAAAATTATTGCTGTAGCTGTTTTCATTATTAATATTATTGATGAATATAAAATATAGGAAATTAAATCATTTACTTTTTAAGTAATGGGAATTCAATTTTAAATCATCAATTGTTTGAGGCCGGCTGATCATCACCTAATTACATATCAGTCATTTAACAAAATTTTGGGGCAATACACATAAACGGGCACTCCAGGGCACTCTAACCGAACCAGATATATTTTCCTCAAGGCACCGCGTCACAGTGTTGCCATATTTATTTTAGTAAAATATGTATATGAATGTTACAAATATAAAGTTACTTTTACGAAATAATAATGTGTGTTATGAGTAGCTACTAATTTTAAATAAGTATAAAACTTGCCATATTTTTTTTTGTAAAATGTATATGAAGGACTAAAATATAAGTTACTTTTACGAAATTATAATTTTTATTATGAGAAGCTTTGAATAAGTATAAAACAATATTTTCTGTTACTTTAAATGCAGTTAAATATTGTAAATTAACACTTTCCAAATGTTATCTATTAGGACCTTATTATTAGGTGCGAATGGTCAACCTGCTACAATGACACTTATGAATCATAAATTTCAATGCATTTATTACATTATATGCAGTAATTTAATTAATACTATTAATTTTGTATATCATTTTAATCAATGTTATTGTATATGCAATTGATTATTATCTTTAATTTAACTAAAATCTATGAATTTTTATATAATTTCAATGCATTTCTTTTTTATATCACTTTAATCAATTTTATTGTATATACATTTAATTATTATCTTTAATTTAATTAAAATTACGATTTCTTATATAATTTCAATGCATTTGTATAATATTATGTGAGAGTATGAAAAAACTGGAGACTTGGCAACTCTGACACCATTTAAGCCTAAGTTAATGTCATATAAAACCAATGACGTATAATATATAGACTCGGTGAACGCTTTAAAAAGTGTCCAAAACATGAATACCTTTGTTATTGTTTATTGTTTTGATACGAAGATGCACGAAGTTCATGATTTCTTACGAAGCATCACGAAGTTGATCTTGTGTTTGAAAACATCATGGACGTACTCCATTTTGTGTGACAAGCAAATTTTATTTTAAATTGTTGAGAGTTATTTACTTACTATTTTAGTAAAATGACATACTATTTTATCAAAATAATTATTTCTCTTATAGACGGGAACAAAAAGAAATCATAAATATTTAATTTTAATTAAAAAAATAATTATTGTCATTAACATATAAATGAGCACGCCGCTGTTGTGATAAACATACCTTCAACCTTGAGCTGAGATCTTTCGGACACTCGATTCTATAGCGAGAATAGGGGACTGCGTAGTCTATATATTATACGTCATTGTATAAAACCTTGGTTAGGTTAGAGTGCCCATTTATGTGTATCGCCCAAGTTTTGACTTAGTCAGAAGAACTTTCAGAACTTTTGCCAGAGCTGCATGCTGACGAAAGCTAAGAAATATGCCATATCAGAAAGGTTTTAAAAGCCTTGTAAAATTCCTTAAATCGAAATAAAATATGAACATTATACTTACACGACCTTGCCCCCATCTCTTAACTTGACTCCTCTTGTATGTGTCCTTGTCTTAACACCCTTACCAAGAGCTTGCATGCCACCGCTTTGGACATTAGCTCTACCACCCCTTCCACGCAAATTACGTTGATTAGCACGGAATCTACCTCGCTGGTATGGGGGTTTCTGAACTCTGGTAGTGTCAACCAAATGGAAAGTGCTTTCATCTTCATCATGGTAATATGCATACTGGCTACCTGAGCCAAATTGGGAAGCATATTTATCTGTCAAAACACAAACCACATTTAACACAATAAACAATCATTTTCAAGAATAAAGAATCTTCATTATTTTTACCGGCGGTAAGTTGCGTATATACACCCATTTTTATTGAGGTTATGTTCTAACATATGCACCATTAATGATGTTGCATTACTATAATATAAAAAAGACTTACTAGCATATTTTTTATCTTGAAAAGCAGCTCCAGTCCAATCACTAATTTTTCCTAGCCGGTCACCTTTACTGAAGGGTTGATAAGGCATATCCTTAAACTGATCTGGCACTTCACAGGGTCCCCATCCGGCTTGATTATCTTGAATTACAGGCGCCACGAAGTGCGGAGCCTCTCCTCCTGAGCTATAATCGGTCATAGTCATTACTTTACCTAATTAATTAATAACAACCACAACCACCTAAAATACTCCAAAGCCTAACTTAAATTGCCTTGAAGTTGTGAAATTGGAAAAGGTTCGTGGATGTATGTCATCAAGAAATGACAAGAGTGACAGTGACACTTGACACTTAGTTGACAGAAGGTGGAAACCAAAAATACTGATTTTAGACAACCATTTATCAAATATAAAGTATTTTCTTTGCCTAGCTCAGGCTACAGAAAAATTTCTCATAATTAACACCTTCACGGCGATTCGGGACACCGAGGTCCTGTATATGTAATGATCTAAAATTTTTGTAGAAATCTTTCTTGACTTTCTCAATATTCGAAATGCGTATTTCCACTATTAGTCAACCGATGTCGATAGTTCAAAGAGCGCCTTGTGTAGAATTTCGCGGTAAATTCAATAGTAACCGAAATGAAGTTCGTGACCCGAACGACCCTAGCATTTCACTGTGCCTTTTATACAAATATAAGATTTGTTCTAGTGTTTCAAAAATGAACAGAAGAGCGACCAAAATATTAAAACTCGCTCCCGAAACTGACAAAGAAAACCAATCTTCTCAACCAAAAGTCATTGTACAGAAACTAGTAGATTATGACGAGTCACCTGCATGTTCGGTTTTTTCTGAAGAATCTGGTAATAATCTATTACAAGAACAAAATTGACATTATTTTGGAATGGTTACAAGAGTTACTCATGAAAAAACAGTAAATCAAGACAATTATATTAGGGAAGATGTGTTAGAAGAAGAAATTGAATATGACCCCTCTTAGAATACTACTATGTATGAAAGAACTAATATCGAAGTATCAAGTGACAATGATGATGAGCCATTTTCTAGTGACGATTCTATAATAGATACAAGCTACATGCCGTCTTCTGAAGAAGAGTCAATTTCTGAAGCAGGATCAGATTTATTTTCTGCTTCAAATGCAGGGGATCAACATAATCAATACTCTGACCAAAATGTCGCTAACATTCGAAGTCAACAATGTGACCTATGGGGGCCTATTTTTCCGAAACTCGACCCGTTTGTAACAAATTGTATACATAAATTAAATGTTAATATGGAAAATATCAAAGAACCGCTAGATGCTTACAGGCTTATATTTTTTTTAATTATTATTTTTATTAATAATTTTAACAATGGGCTTAGTTCCTTTGCCGTCACTTAGTGCTTATTGGCGTAAAGACGAAATGTTTCATTATGCATTTGTAAGTTCCATCATGGCCCGTGATAGATTTTTAACATTGCTCAAATATTTACATTTTTCCGATAACACCGTTGCTGTAAAAATAGGCTCTGCAAAGTAAAACCATTGCTTGATATACTGCTGGAAAACTTTAAGTCTGTCTTGACACTTGGCCAAGATTATAATAGATGAAAGCATGATTTCTTGGAGAGGTAGATTGTTATTCAAACAGTACATTCCGAATAAAACACATAAATATGGCATCAAACTATACAAATTATTTACAGTAGATGGGTATACGCACAATATAATAGTTTATGCAGGTAAAAACTACGATAAGGTTAATAATATCAGTAACAATCATTCAGAAGGCATTGTACTAAAATTAATTTTAAATTTAGACCAGCAGGAGGGCAGAACCTTATACGCTGATAATTTCTATTCCAGCATTTCTTTAGTGAAGGAATTGTATCTAAGAAATATCAAATATGGCGGAACACTTCGATCTAATAGAAAAGGGATTCCAAAATCTTTTGAAAGAAAGATGAAGAAATCTGAGGTGTATGGAGAAGAAAGTAAGAATAATAAAGTGGATAAATAAAGAGACCAGTTTTGATGATCACATCTGATGTCACACATGAAGCGATCCTTGTAGAACCTGGTAAAAAAGATAAAAAAAGGTAATGAAATAAAAAAAACCAAAATGTATTATTGATTACAATAAAGCTAAAAAAGGTGTGGATATAAGTCATCAAATGTCCGCCTATTTTACGGTTTTCAGGAAATCACTAAAATGGTATCGAAAGTTTTGTTTCGAGTTGCTTTTTGGAATGTTTGTTGTAAATGCATGGGTCGTTTTTCAGTTAGCCACAGGAAAAAAGTTGTCTATGATGCAATTTAGAAGTTAATTAGCTCGGTCATTAGTTACTACGAATACTAGAGATACACAGGGCCGGATTAAGGCACGGGCCAACTGGGCCGCGGCCCAGGGCGGCAAAATTTTGGGGCGGCGGATTTGAGAAAAAAAAAGTGTAATTATTTTTGATTGATTATAAAGCTTTATTATCGATTATCAAGACCAGTGAACCTGAGCATTAAATATTAAAAAACTATTTTATTGTTTATTATTTATTTATAACGCGACACTCTGCGCGGTGTAATGTGGTCGCAGTACACTACGCTACGCCACTCTATCCAAGTGAGTCGAAGGGGCGAGGCGGCAGTCTGTATCGTACGCTACGCACGGGAAATTTAGTTGTGGGATCGTAGTAGTTGCTAGCATTGGCTGATGGCAGGCGTCTTGTCGCCTTGCCGCTTCCCTCCCCCCACCAACTCCATCACCGCCACGCGCCATTGTCATTCGGTTGTCTGGTCTCAACTCCACGTACTGCAGTCTGTCTAACTGTTTAGGTTTAACGTTTTTGTAATTTGTTTTGAGCGGAGTAACATTTTGAAATTGTAACTTGTGAGGTAAGAAATATTTATTTGTTTATAGTAATGGTAATGTAAGTTAATATAGATCTTACATCTAAAGGTTCAGATAAGTTTATGCAGCAGCAGTTAGCACTGGTGTAAGGAGTAGTGAGACGGTGAGAGCTGTGCTGTGTAGGCCGTAAGGCCGTAAGTTGTCAAATTTTGTGGCTATTTAATTTTGCATATTTCGCCATTTTACTTTGTGGTAGTAAGAGAAGCAATGTAATTCGGCATGTTGCCATACGTATAGGTTTCACAATGAGTTGAATAAGTAATGGAAGGAAATTCGCTTCCCTCATTTTTTCGCTTCATTTTTCCTGTCGTATCGTACTACAGTTTTGAATTATACAGATATTCTTTTTTTTACAGTCAGACCTTTACTTCCGATGTCATTGATGCTATAACAAGCAGCTGTACAAATGGATGGACGCAAACGGCTCAGTGGGTGGCAATACAAAAAAGTAGCCGAAGAGAAGAAAAAAAAATTGACAGAAGTTGTAAATAAAACTGCGAAGCTTGATACATTTTTTACAAGAAGTAACCTACCAGTGCCACCAGAACCAGTGCTTTTAGAAAGTGTCAAAGAATTTTGTGAAGTAGAACTAGAAGTATGTTCCATATTAACGCCTTCAGCTTCAACAGCTTCAGCATCAGTGCCTTCAGCTTTAACATCAACCCCTCCAGCTTCAGCATTAGCCCCTTCAGCTTCAACATCAACCCCTTTAGCTTCAGCATCAGCCCCTCCGGTTTCAACATCAACCCCTTCAGCTTCAGCATCAACCCCTTCAGCTTCACCCTCAACCCCTTCAGCATCAGCACCTTCAGCTTCGTCATGTGTTGATACTGACAAGATCAAACCAGCTATATCCGAATTAACTTTTGTTGTTGACGAGATTGAAGATCAATTAACAGTCTCTGAACCTGACTCTTCTGTCCATTTGAAACCAAATTATGATCCTGCTTTATGGATAGTGAATGAAGAGACGCGGGAATATTTTGTTAAAAATGGATGGAATCAAAATAAAGATTGCGATTTTAAAAAATCTGAAAGGCAATATCCAGACAGGAAAAGAGTGTTGGCTAAATGGCTATTCGACAGAAAACTTGCAAATGGCGAAATTGTAAATAGAGATTTCTTGATTTACTCACCAAGTTTAGGCTCTTTGTTCTGTGGTCCATGCAAATTGTTTAGTTCGACCTCTACTCAGTTTACTGAAAATGGGTTCAGTGATTGGAAACATGCATCAGCGAGAATAAAAGAGCATGAAAACTCGCACGTTCACTACAATAGTGTAATAGTATACAAACAAAGAGCAGAAGCAGCCGGGAGGATCGATAAGCTTCTACAAAACCAAGTGGAAGAAGAAATAAGGTATTGGAAGGCAGTTCTCCAGAGAGTGGTGGCCGTAATAAAAAAACTTGCCTCGCGTGGTCTTGCCTTTAGGGGGACTGACGAAAAATTTGGTTCTTTTTCAAATGGCAACTATATGATGTGCTTGGAGCTGATTGCCGAATTTGATCCATTTTTGAAAGCACACATTGAAAAATATGGGAAAGCGGGTAAAGGCAATCAGTCATACCTATCATCAACCATTTGTGAAGAACTCATCGAAATAATGGCAAAAACCGTTATTGATACAATTTTGAATGATGCTAAGAAAAGCAAGTACTATTCTATAATAGTAGATTCCACCCCTGATGTAACACACATTGATCAATTGTCTTTCATATTAAGGTATGTGAATGAATTGGGAATCCCTGAAGAACATTTTGTTGAATTTATGAAAAATCAAGGTCATACAGGTGAAGAACTAGTGAACTCAGTGCTTTCTTTCCTACAGTCGAAAGGATTGGACATACAAAACTGTAGGGGACAGTCCTATGACAACGCGTCAAATATGTCAGGAATGTACTCGGGGTTGCAGGCAAGACTTAAAGAAAAGAATCCCTTGATATTTTATGTGCCTTGTTCAGCGCATTCACTAAATTTAGTGGGATCAAGCGTTCAGAATGCTGTTCTCTTGCAAAACATTTCTTTGATCTCTTGCAAGGATTGTACAATTTTTTCTCGTCTTCTACGCACAGGTGGAATCTTCTTCTGTCAAATTTCACGGCCACAGGAAAGGACAAGAACACGTCGTTGAAGTCTCTCAGTGTTACAAGATGGTCTGCAAGGGAAGAAGCTTGCAAAAGCCTTAATAAAGACTACAAACCCATGGTCAAGACGCTGATAGACATGACTTCAAGCAATCATGAAAACAAACAGACACAATCCAAAGCCAAAGGGTTGTTGCGAAAACTAATGTC